CTGAAAATTCACTATATATCAAAGCCAAAGATTTTTTCAATAGTTGAAAGCTTTGCATATATAGCTATGAGTACAAGGAAACCATTCTAAAGTATTAAGACAGGAATAAAAGAAAATACAGGCACTTCAACAGATTTGCTGTTGCCTACCTCCTCTGCTGTTTTGCAAACTTCACTACCTTTATGTACATTATTTTAACTCCAACACATACAATGCCAACAGATTTAATCCTAAAGGCATTTGCAGCCTGAATTTCCTACATAAGGATCGTAAATCTAGAATGGGAAGCCTGAAATCGTTAAAGTCACATATTTATAAAATCATATTCAATTAGGTTAAAAAAGTGCAATTTCTGTCATCATGTCATAAAAAGATGTGTTTTTCTCTCAGATCTACTATAAAGAAAAGCACCATATATTGTTACAGATAGAGGCTGTTTTCAATCAGTTACAAGGAGCAATCCAATTACTGGATGGTTTAGTGCAGTAACTGACTCCAGACTAATTTAATTTCTTTAGGTCTCTAAAGATCAATTGATCTGATTTGTTTCCCTCCCCAAAGGCTGTTTAGGAAAAAGCAGGCTTAAATACCTGGAAATGAAATACAAAGCTCTGTATGCTTTCACACTACTTAGGTCATTTGGAAAAGCTGGAACTCGCGATAGATGAGTGCTCTCTTGGCCCTAACATCACGGGATGCTTTATGGGAGGCCATTAGGATCACCACACCACACTGCAGATTACACATGCATGTGCTTCATGCAGGCCTGCTTAGGGAACAGCACATGGAAAGTATTCTCACAGCTTCTAGGTAACTATTCAATTTCCAAGAGGTGTGCAAGTACATTTGACCTTCATAGTCTTTTCCCTGGAAAATAAGTATTTTTCTCCAGCAGCGATCTTATAGAAATAACTAAGTTTCCAACTAGACCAAGCAAGAGTCATGCTATACTATTCAATATTCACCTACTTGTAATGCATGTCACAATGGATATCAAATAGAAATTCTTCCTGTTGTCATGTCTCACTTTGCTGTTACTTTTGCTCTATTTCAGATTTTGTCAAGCAATTTTTCTGGCACCAAGATGAAATCTACAGAATCAGTGGGCACCTAGAGAATGACATTCTCATCCACCTGAATACTTTAATGTCAGAACTGAATAAAACCCTGGGTATTTCTGGACCATAATATATAACTTAGGAAAGTCTCAAACACTCTCTTACTAGCTCTCTTCCATGTTACACTTTTATTATCCCATGACTTCATTTGTTATATATAAGGTTTTGTATTTTTAATACTATTGTTTGCCAATCAGGGCTAAGCTTTCCAATTTAAGTCAAAATAAAACTTTAACCAAACTTGGACTCTCAAATCCAGAGTTTTAGTGGAATTTCAATACTTTTCACATTCTGTTTCTTGTGTTTATTGTAGACTTCACATTTGTCTGCCTTATCTTTCATGGCAATGTTTGTGCCTGGGCTTGGCTGCCTGTCTCAGGCTCTATTCTTACACTTATCAATAAACAAAAGGGCACTGCGGCTTATGCTTAGCATTTCTGACTCCATGCCATGTGCTGTTACAATAAGATGTCCTCTGGAAAAATTCCCTTTGCATCCAGCACCATGATAGTCAGTTCATCTGCACAGAGGTAACTAAGTTTTTCTCCCTGCTTATCTGTTCAGACTCTTTCAGCCCCTGCAAAGCTATGTCATTAGATGTCTCCTGTCTGTAAAATAAGGAAACTGAAATGTGAAAAACAGAGTCTCTTCTCTTCCTACAGGTCCTTTCTTGGCTATTTATTGCGCTGAAACCCGAGCTTTTATCATTGTTTACCTTAGTATTCTGTCAATACTGTGGGGTATGCTATTTTTATTAAATCTTCCCTTTTTTTCCCCCATTTTTAATGAAGACTTTCACTTAGGAAACAATTTTCAACAACTTTGCAAATATGCACTGCAGCCTACAAGCTTTCTTTCCCCAAATTACTGTTCTGTTACCCGTTTACTCAACAGATCGCTAATGACCCAATTACTA